CCACTGCGGACGCAAAGAGGACCGAGCCTCCGCTGCTGCATGCCACCGATGTACTGCCTCTCTGGCACTGGAGCTTGGAAGGTTTGGCAGAGCCTGCAGTGACAAAGGTTTGAGGACGCTGCCTCGGCACAGCTGAAGTCGTCCCGGATGGCCGCTGGTGGCGGCAGGCCCTTTTCAGCACACTAGCTTCGAGTCTTGGAATCAAATCTTCCAAGGCCCGAAGACAATCCGTCTAAAATGCACAAGTGACAAGACCTGAAGCCTCAATGCATCCGAATGCGCAGCCCGCATCTCCTCATCGCAGATCGAAGCCAGCTCCTCGGGCTTCCCAGCATGACTCTGTGCATAGTCATGGCATGCAGGCTCCATGTAGTGCAGGCAGATCCCCACGATCCCGACGAGATCTAGGACCCCTTTCTGCTCAACTTCAGCACAAGTCGGCGCCTCCAGCAGCTGCAGCTGCCTCGCCGGCAGCGGCAGCGGCTCCGCCATGGCTTTGGAGCTTCCAGGCTTCAGATCGTGTTAGCACCTTTGGGCTTCTGCCCGGGAGTCGCGTCAGGTCTAGCTAGAGCTGTGGGCTTCGTGTCTAGGCTGTGCCAGAACTGGGCTGCCGTCCTGTCCTGGTTCAGTGGTGTGGGGGGGCTTGGACCTGGGCTCTGCATCCGGACGGACTTTGCGGAAAGAGGTTGTCAAGCTGCTCCATAAGTGGCTGGCCTGTTGCGATCAACATCTCCGGTGAGCCCTGAACGGCGTTTTTGTATCCGACTCACCCTAATTCTTCATCTGCAAGTCCGTGGAGAAGTTGTTCAAGTGGACATGAAGCGCCACGCCCAAGTTTTCGCGCCAAGCCCTTCGACATGATGAGATGCAACCTGACCTGAAGCTTCTGTTCGCCTCAGAGGCCCCTGCAAAACCCAAATTGTGCGTGGAGTTGCCAACCCTGCGTGGTGAACTGCGCAGCCCAAGCCGAGCCCAAGACTAGCTAGATTAGGACGTTGTATGAACCATGCGCGTTAAAACCTTTGATAATGCAGGCCTGAGGAGGGCAATATTCAATCGTGCTACGTGCCAGCTGCCAGCTGCTAGCTCCTGACTCCTGAGACCTCTGAAAGGAAAACCCTCTGATCCTCCGCATTGCCATGGCAGAACAGGATGACGCCCGCAGCACGCGGGGCTGGAAGCCTGGCAACGAGATTCGGTCGCCACAGGCAAGAGCTCCTTTAACCCCAAGGCTCCATGAATCCACGAATCTCGAACTCTCCTACCCGCAACGCGCCGGCCATGCCAAACGCAAGGGATGCCCTCGGCAAACCTGCAAGGGCAAGGACAGGGCCCGTATAGCTAACCGATAACTATGAAGAGTCTGAAACCTTACGGTACTTACACAGCCACTACCGGGCCTCCAGCTTAAATCAAATCTTCCGATAAATAATCTTCCACCCATCTGAGCAACACAACCGCAACGAAGCAAAACATAAAGCAAGATGATCCAGAGAAACGACAATCGGCGGCAGTAGCTGTCGGAATAAAACTGCGGGAGCCAGTGTGCAGACAGCCACGGCCTCTCGTCTTCAGCCCGTTCCGGGGAGACCTGGAGGAGTGGTGCTTCGGCTCTTGGGGCTTCCTGCTTCCCTTTTCAGGGCCTAGAGGATTTCCGATTTCTTCTTGTGACCGGCAGGGTGCTTCCAAAGGTTGCCGGGACCGGAGTCTTTCTTTGCGTGACGTCCTGAATCATGCTTCGAACCTCCAAGCCACCTTCCAACCTTGACCCGATCCGAGAGCCGCACAGCTTCGTTCCACGGTATCCAACACAGATGCCTCCCACAGCGGAGAGCCCAGTAACGTCCAACACGACTCCGGAAATACCAGGGCCCCGGCTTCTTGAAAGCGTCCTGCATGGGCGAGGCATGTCCGTTCAGTAAGTTTAGTTGGGACTCCCAGCTTCAGAAAGTCCAGAGGCAACTCCCTCCTGGTCATCCTCGGAAGATAAGGCAGCGACTGCGAACTTGTCTGTAAAGCCCGATGCGAATGAGGTATAGGTGCGGCGGCGGTTACAGCTTGAGCCCTTTCCTTTTCCTTGCCCTCTCTTCATTGAACAGCCATTGGATTTAATTGGCAGTTCATTCGAGCGAAAGACGGCTTCAAGGAAGTCCCCCGGTCCTTCCCGTAGGTGGGCTGCGGTGCCGGGAAGAGAAGCTTGTCAATGAAAGAAGACCTCGCAAGCTTTTCGCAAGCTGGTGCTTTGTACGGCTATTGATAGCACAGCTCCTGCAGGCAGTTTCAAAAGGGAGCGTTATGTAGGCAGATCAACTTCCACAGTCATTGCATCTGGATCCCGTAACAGCTGATGGATGTAACAGAGACTCTGGCATCTCAGGACGGTCTGTGCATGCCCCAAATTCCTCCTGAGAAGTCAAGGGGCCAGGAAGGAACCTCATGCATCTGCAGCTGCGACATATGTATTTCTAGAGAGAGAGAGAGAGAGAGAGAGAGAGAGAGAGACAGAGAGAGACAGAGAGAGACAGAGAGAGACAGAGAGACACAGAGAGACACAGAGAGACACAGAGAGACACAGAGAGACACAGAGAGACACAGAGAGACACAGAGAGACAGAGAGAGGCAGAGAGAAACAGAGAGAGGCAGAGAGAGACAGAGAGAGGCAGAGCGAGACTAGAGAGATAGCTTGCGAGACAGGCAGATGGATAGGCTAACAGATAGACAGACAGACAGAGAGATAGAGAGCTAAAGCAATCGAGAGGTAGTGTGCGAGAGCCTAGACGAACGGATAGATGCAGCAGGAAGACAGATAGATCCTGGATTCCCAGATCCTGCAATGTGTTGTTTTTCCTCTTTGACCGGCCCGGCCACCCGGTCCTGTCTCAGCTCAGCCGGGGCTGCGCCATAGTCCGGCTGTCCAGGCAGTGGCTTTTCTTTGTTGCTCCTACCCTGGAAAAGGGTGAAGCCCTGGGGTGGAGAGGCGACAAGCCGGAGCTAAGAAGTTGAAAAGACTCAACTTTGTCTCTGGCTTTGCTCTGGATATTACGTCAACGGTGCTCTCGGTCATCTCTTGTCATGGCGGTGATCAGCTCAATGCTTTCCTATATGCAATAGAGCATAGGAGAATCAGAACTTGCCCACGAATTATCCGCTTGGCTGACCGGCGGGCAGTTGAAGCTTCGTCTCGCAGCTGCAGGCAGGACATTACGCTTGCCACCCAAAGCTCAAAGATCTTAGCGACCCTGAACCAGAAGCGCAGATACAACCAACGGTATCGAAGAAAACACCCCCAAAGGCCGACCAAAGCACGAGATTTCAGATCGAAGCCAGGCCAATATCGCACATCTCCAGAACACCCCTTCCTGAAAGACCGACCTTGAGTTGACCAAACACATGCAATGACAACCCACCCAATCGGGAAGAAAGATTCGAAGGTAGATTCCCCTCCAGGCTGTAGAGCTTTTACTGACGTCCGAACAAAACTATAATTCCGTGACAATGTGCCAGGGTAGGGTAGGGCGCAGTCATGTCAGAAAACCCAAAAATAACTGAGGCGCTACGCCAACGGACTTGGAAGCACGAAATTCAGAGCCACGATGATAAAATCCATACAGATGATCACTGTCAATACGGGTCGTACTCGTAGTCGTCGTCATCGTCGTCGTCGTTGCAGTAGTAGTCACAGCCATAGTGGAAGTACCAGTGCCAATACTAGTCCTCGTACTAGCACTAATACTAGTACCAGTACCAGTACTAGCACTAGCACTAGAAGAAGTAGTAGTAGTCGTCGTGGTGGTGGTAGTAGTAGTCGTCGTGGTGGTGGTAGTGGTAGTGGTAGTGGTAGTGGTAGTGCGAGTGGTAGTGCTAGTGGTAGTGCTAGTGGTAGTGGTAGTGGTAGTGGTAGTGGTAGTGGTAGTAGTAGTAGTAGTAGTAGTAGTAGTAGTAGTAGTAGCAGTAGTAGTAGTAGTAGTAGTAGTAGTAGTAGTAGGCGTAGTAGTAGTAGTAGTAGTAGTAGTAGTAGTAGTAGTAGTAGTAGTAGGCGTAGTAGTAGTAGTAGTAGTAGTAGTAGTAGTAGTAGTAGTAGTAGGCGTAGTAGTAGTAGTAGTAGTAGTGGTAGCAGCCGCCGCAGCGGTAGCAGTGCAAGCAGCAGCAGTCGTCGTAGTAGAAGCCACTGTAGTAGGCGTAGGATACGCGTTTGCAGCACTGCAAAGTGAGCGGGAGCAGGAGGAGGAGGGGGAGGAGGAGACGCCACATTGCGGTGATCATGAGCTATTAGATCGTCATGGCGGTGATGATGAAGTTGACGACGACGACATTCTGGGACTATTATTTATCCTAGCCGCCGATGGCCTGCTGACTACTGTCCTTGCGCTCCTTTCACTCAATGTTCGGGCTCGCGCGCCAGAATTGTGTGCTACTGCTTCCTCGGACTAAAGCTACATTCAGACCGTGCCCTCGTGACGACGGTCGACAAAGGCGGGGTGCTTCTGAAACCTGCTGTCCTTTTTGTCTGGATGTCTTCTGAAGTGCACTTGCATCATGTGCCATCTCTGCCAGTGTCCAGGAAAGCGGCGGTTTCAGACCCATGCTCGAACTACTCCCTCTCCGCACTTGGTGCGAAGACAGGGTCCGAGTGACAGCAACACTAAAGCTAAGAAAGATTTAAAACGCTGACTACCGTCCTTGAGGCAGGGCCAAGGCCTGCCGCGACGTGGTGAAGTGCTCCCGATGCAGTAAGGTGCGGCGCATGTGTGTGAAAGAATGCGTTGTACTGATGCATGCATACACCTGGCATACACTCACACTGGTTCATAGGAACAGGTACGCACAACAATGCATACGTACATGAGGCACCCACGTGTCAAACCAGCAAAACAACCAGTGTTTCTTTAAGTTGCGAGCTTTCTCCGTAAGAACTTGTCTGCTTCCGTCCCCCGCTTTACACTCACAATTCAACCTTGAAGTACTGTAACAGTCGGAACAACGAACCGTACAGTACAGTGCTAAACCCTGGCATCTGCCCCGCTGGCACTCAGAGAGGCCGTACGGCGACGACCGAAGGTCTCAGATTCCATGGCTGAGTTCGGGGAAAGATCTCTTGGCGCCTGACGAAAGATTTCGCTTTGGAGCCTAAGGGTGAGGGACGGCCGGCCTTAAGTCAGGAGGGGTTGAGGCACTGAGCTTGACGCGTCGGGTTGATGGCACATCATGGCAGCGAGTATCTCTACGTTCAGGTGAGTTGGGCTGTCCCTGCTGCTGCTGCTGCTCAAACCACCACTCCCTACTGCTGCTGCCACTACCACTACGACGACTACTACTACTACTACTACTACTACTACTACTACTACTACTACTACTACTACTACTACTACTACTACGACTACGACTACGACTACGACTACGACTACGACTACGACTACGACTACGACTACGACTACGACTACGACTACTACTACTACTACTACTACTACTACTACTACTACTACGCCTACTACTACTACTACTACTACTACTACTACTACTTCTACTACTACTACTACGACGACGACTACGACTACGACTACGACTGCGACTGCGACTGCGGCTTCGACTGCTACTGCTACTGCCACTGCCACTGCCACTGCCACTACTCCTACTCCTACTCCTACTCCGACTCCGACTCCGACTCCGACTCCGACTCTCCGACTCCAACTCCGACTCCGACTCCGACTCCGACTCCGACTCCTACTCCTACTCCTACTCCTACTCCTACTCCTACTCCTACTCCTACTCCTGCTGCTACTACTACTGCTAAGACGACTACTACTGCTACTACTACGAGTAACACGGCCCGGCCTCCTGACCAGCCTGCCTCTTTAGACAAGCACATGTGCTGAGGCTCACCTGGGGCACTCTCGCCAGCTTCCGCTTGCGTACAAGTCTTCAACGAATCCTGATAAAATTGTAGCTTGTGGCTTCACTTCTGTGAGTAGGAAGTGCCCGCAAGGGTGTTTGTGCGCTGCCGCGGCTATAACCTGCAATACCCAACTTGGCCTGGATCCGATGCGTGCCAAGAGGCAGACACGGTGAGCAGCAACCAAAACAAAGTAACACCTGGGCTCAGTTTGCGCTGCCACACGGCGCATCTCGAACCCAGGCTGGAAGCAGTGCATGGAGCCTGAAGGTGTCTGCTCCACAGCCCTCCGCGGCCCGGCTCAAACCCACTTGTCTCCACTGTGAATCTGCAGTGCGCTTCGCGACAGCGGCATGGTAAAACACAAGCATCCAGCGCGACCCTGCTGCATGCCTCTGCTGCGCTGATACCTGTTACCTGGTGGAGTTATGTGGCTGCAAACTGCTGTGGGGCGTCTCGGTCAAGCCTGCCGAGACTCAGAGTAGGCTTGTGCAAGGGGCAGTGCAGCAAACTTGGGTTTGCATGTCAAACACACACAAAACACGATAGTGGACGCCATGCCAGGTTCCGACCCCTTACGATGCATGTCCAGGCTGGTCGTTCGTTGACACGCAGGGGAAACATGCGAGACGAGTTTGGGCGACTCGGAAAACTGGACGACAGGACTGTCGGTTGTCAAAACTCTGTCGGGCCGTACAGTACATGGCCGTACAGACGCCTTGGCAGCAGTGTCGACGACAAGATTCCCAAAAACTCAAGATCCCGAGTCCACGGCGCATTACAAGCTTGACAGGAATTGACCTTCCAGAACACTCAAAGAACTCCCAAACCGGCAATGGCCCTTGAACTCCGGGTGCGAAACCTCGAAATCCTGGAGGCTCAGGCTTGCGGACTCTGATACGCCAAGGGGCCGAGGGCCCACAAACCAAGGGCGGAGCTCTCGAGAATGCCGAGGCCCATCCTGAGACTCATCGCGCGCTTGCATGCGCCTGCCACCTGTCTCTTTCAATACGAACAAGCGCAGAGAGCATGCCCGTGCCTAAATCAGGCAATGCCAGGCGTCAGCGACGAGAGGAGGAGCAATGCGATGACGCATCGTAGCAGCAGTGTCGTGTTGAAGCCTAGACAGCAACATTGGTGCCGGCTGAACTTCGTACTCCGCACATCGATGCATGTTCTGAAGAGTGTTGAAGCACGGCCGAGCTCGGACAGTGTTACAATGTCAAAGACAGTGGCAGCTACAGGACTCCGGGGAACGCTGAGCAATCACCGGACAGCTATAGCTGGGTAATCTGGCCATCTCTGTTACGCCGGACAGGCGTAAAGCGCCGTGACACAGCAGCGAAAAGGGGAGTATACAGTTTACTGTACGGCTACTACTGTACAATCGATGCGGTGGAAGCGCTTGCAGGCATAACGCTTCTTAGGAGCGTCTTTACTTGCAAGACTTGCATGGCCATGCCGACCGACTGATCCGACCTGCAGTTCCAGCTGAAGCACAAAGTCACAGCATTCCGACGGTCGAGTTCGGATTGAATCTCGTGGCAACATTGGTGTGTTGGCTTAACGGCGCGCAAGCTGCTTTCGGATACCACTCCTCTCCTCACGACTCATCTAGCAAGAGCAGCACTCGGTCAGCTCCATTGTCGAAATGCAGGAAGCTTCGACCCCAAGTACTCCATGGCTGCACATGCAGGCGAAGGCAGGTCACATGTACGAACACCACTTTCGCGTGTAGAGCCTGTCTTGCCTGCCTATCTGCTTGCCTGTGATCACACGAAAGAAGCATCTCTGCTTCATAACTGTGTGAAATGTGAGAGCTTAGACCATGTAGAAGCCGGGCCAAAGCTTCAGATTTCAAGCTACAGTGCTGGATCATGAACCCAAGTTGCGCTGCTTCACTTTGGAGAGCTTGTGCAACGGAGTTGTTTAGTTCATGTCTCGTGAATCCTCACCTTGACTCTGCTGTCGGAGAGCTCCGGACTTGGGGCTGCTGGGGCTGCGACAAGCCTTGATGAGCAACCTCTGACTACACGATCTGGTCGGCAACACTGCCGCAACCGCTTTGGGGAGCAGGGGAAACCAGTTCTGCACACCGTAACAGAAACGGGCGTCATTAGTAGAAACAAGCTCCGCAGCGGCCGAGCGCAAAAGAAACTAACCCTGGAAAGCCAAGCAGCGTAAACTGTGCTCTCTTCATGGGGGACCATCTTTTGGCCCCCTACTTTGCGATTAAAGCCTTCTGCTCAAGCCTATGTTTCTTTGTTCGGGGCATATAGGGCATACGATTCAACAGGGTTTGGGATACAGGATGACAGTGGCAATGCAGAGGGTTTTAACATGTCAAAATATGGTTCAGGATGGAAGGCTTACTGCTACCGTTCATGTGTCCAAGCTGATGGCTAGAGTGCTGAAGAATGTCGGAAAGGCATGCTGGAATCGTAAGTCTAAATCCTTGTAGGTGGGGAAGCCGGAAAGCGGTCAAGCGGTCCCTGGGTTGGGGAGCCAGAAAAAGATGCTAGATGTGAAAATGAGTCTTGGAGCCCTCCCCCAGTTCCGGTTACGGCCTGCCTTATGCTCCGTTCCTGGTGGACGGGTTCCTGTTAGCCCACACGACTCTGAGCCCAGGCCAAGGCGCGCTTCCGAACCTCCCAGCCGCAACCCAGCGCCACCTTGGGAGCTCGGCCCACGCGGAATCCAAGTCATGGAAAGTGAGCGACTTTGCGCGCTCGGACGAGGGAAGCTCCCCACTTGCCAGTATACCTGGCACATAATGCTGCTGGGCAACCAGCGAGGGTGCCGGAATCACGAGCGCAAGGTGCCAGTGGGCAGCCAACTCCTGTGAATCTGCAAATTTTGAAAGCTACTGCATGCTTCGGGACCCATCGGGAATTTTTGAAGATATTGTATGCTTCGGGACCAATCGCAGCCCCTGCATAAAATGCTCGCACTTCTCTTTAGGATGGGCACCTTGCCTCCAACATGGTTGAAGGGCTTCTTTCTTCACCAAGACATGCTTTCGCGCTCGGTTGCGCCTTCCTACTCCACCGTCGCAAGCTTGAACCTGAGGCCTGGCCATTAGATTCGAAGACACGTCAGCCCAAAGAACCGTCCCTCCCTGTCCTCACGAACCTCCGGAGAGGTGAGGGAAGATAATCCTTGCTGTGCATGCTTTGGGGCGGGACTTGGAGGACGGGCTTTAGGCTTACTGCGCAAGGGCTGAGGCGACCTAAACCGGAAGAAAAAGTTTGCTGACGGCGGCGGTCAAAACTTTGGAGAATCGTGAAGTGACAGTAGCGGGGGAGACAAACTCGCAATGCTGAAGCTCTGTGAACGGCTTTGAACATGTCAAAACAACAAGGTGAGAACGGACATGAATGACTGCAGAGTGTCGCATCACGGTAGTCAGCATGAAAAACGCTTGCGTCAGCGTGTAGCAGGTGTTGGCCGTCATCTTCTTGTTGGACAGCGCCTGCGCAAAGTGCACCTCAGGAAGGCTGGAAGTGCTCTCAGTTCTCCATCCCATCATGAGATGCTGGGCGGTGGCACGGCGACACAGCAAAGCCTGGTCTTTCAAAGAGTTTCCAAATGCACACACCTTTCACAGTGGACGGACGGCAGCCGTAAAACCGTTGCCGGGGTGCCATCATCAGCGGACCTGGGAGACCCATGAGGCCGTTCAGAAAGCCGCAGGAGAAGCCCACGAGGGTGAACCTCGGCAGATTCCCACGTATTGAGCTTCGACAAAGGTGCAGTGGCTCGCGAGACGGGCAAGGGGAAGTCGGGATGGACTGCAGCCTTCGACGATCTCGTGCTGCCCTCCTGAATTGATTAAACTGAAATGGGTCGGGTTGGACTCAGAACGGAACCTGCAACGATGTATCATACGCCCAAGGCACTATTGCCAAGGGACACCTCGACGGGACTAGTGATGTCGAAATCTGTTTCAGCCCGCGTGAAGGCGCTGTCTGGCGCATCAAGTTGTTATTGCTGTAGATACTGAGAACCTCGTTCGCAAACTTTCTTGCAGTGTGAGGGATAAGCCAAAGTCACTGTAGTCCCATCTTTCTGCAGAGCTCGGTGTCGACGTCCTCGTCGAGGACCTTGGCAATTGCCGCAAGCTCCAGAACCGGGCGTTGAACCGCTTCAGCCCTGGCCAATTCTATGCCGCATGGATGCTCTGAATGGAGCCGGTATGTCCAAGATTTGGGATCTAGGTAAGCGCGCCTCCGTGATGTGCAACGCCTCGTTTGCACGTCGTGCTTTCGCATAGGCCCGGAACTCCTTCAGGCATCGCCGGGCTTGTCACTGGGCTAGTGAATGAGCATGCCTGAAACTCGTGCCACCGGCGGTGCAGTGCAGCTATTGCATTATCACTGCTTCGATGTGTCGGCTGTCGTGTCAAAAGCGGACCAAGCTACGGTCTTCTTGCTTTCCTTCTTGTGAACGCCTTCTGCGACAGCATCTCTCCACGTCCACTCCAGTCCCCATCAATAGACTAGCTAACAGAAAGTGTGATACTCAAGAGAGACCCAGCTCCATGGTGATCTTGAAGAGAGCGACCAGAGCGAATGTCAAATTCAGGCAGGTCTTCACCATCTCCAGGATGGACTTGTTCTCGCCGGTCTGCCTACGACTTACAAGAGTCTTCACTGCACGACTGTCGGCAAGCGTCGCCACTAACTCCAGGGACGTTCGCATGAAGAGATCAGGTTCCTCAAGCCACTCGACACAGAAAGCCTCTCACATGCTTACGAGGCACACCAAGATGTACAGCCCCAGAGCCGTGCCCGGCAACCCGGGCACGGACAAGAGCAGAAGGTTGCCTTGGCCAGCTTTCGCTGCGCTACAAGTGAGACATAGTGAAACCTTTAGAGAGTGAGAAGACCTCAGGGCCTTGGGGCTTGAAACCTCGCAAGAGAAACGACTCTACCTCTGCAACAGAGAAAACCAGGATTCAGCGAACCACAAAAAATAGCCCTCTTACAACACGGAACCGCGTCCGGCCATTCTCTGCAGAGGCATGCTACGCCACAAGGTGTAGGCTCGTCTGGCTACGGCCAGAAAAAGCACTGTCGAGGTGCTGAACCTCGGTTCCCAAGTTGACGAAGAGGAAACGGTGTGGTTCCGTCTTCCCGCAAGTGCACCGTCAGACACGCAATGGCTTCTCGTGACAAGACACTCGAAGACGGTGCCAAGAACCACCATCAGCACAGCGCTCTCCAGGCCAGAAGCCAGATGCAGCTGATTCGCGAGGCTGTACCTTGTGGCAGCTGCAAGAGTGAACCCGAGCCTTCGAGCAGTTACAGATCGTAGAATCAACCCCTAATTGTCCTGGCAAGGTGCACCAATATGAAGAGAATGGAGCCACCGAAACCTAGCAGGCAGAAATGAGACTCTTTCTGGAGTGGCGCCCAACTATGACTTTGCTTGACACACCTCGCAAGAAGTCTGTCTCACATTTTCTGAGGACGGAAAAACTCGGCCTGTGGCTGCTCGGCAGAATGCGCCCAAGATGCTGGCAACCACAATCACGGCAACGGCAGAAGCGTCCATGGTGCAGGCAGAGGATGGGTCTACGCTCTACGGTGGCATACGTCCGATTCGGATGTTGGTCGGGTGGCTTCCGGTTCTAGGGTTTTGCACAGCCCAGGGCCCATGGCCTAGGGGACAAAGGAGGGCTTCGGTCGCCGTGAGAAGGGCTGGGAATGTCTGGGGACATGAGAGTCTCTGAAGAGCTAAGCTCTTGAAGGACAATGCGACGGCAGAGTCGTGCCGACATGAAAGATGTGCACGCTTCGTGATGTCATTTCTGCTCTTTTTACCCAACATTACAGGGTACAGGGGACTTGGTGGCATGTCCCCGCAGCGCAGTCTCAGCACTCAAGTCACTGAAAACCTCCTTATGTTTTGTCGCTGAGTAAGAAGCTCTTGGCACCTATCCGGTCTGCTTGCCTAGCGACTGGCATGGCACGTCAAAGGGGTACCCAAGCCAGCAAAACTTCTGGGTTGCCATGTCGTGGGTCTGAAGCTCTAGGTACAGGAGTTACGCCCAAAGTGAGTTTGGGATTTGCGACAAAGTTTATGCTGCTAGCTTTGCCTGTTGCCGCCACCTACGAGCTCTGATCACCAACTTACCGAGTGCTTCTGCTACTCATGTTCCGTACTTGTCACTGTGACTATCGCTATGTCTGCTATTGCTTTGTCGCTTGTTGCGGTCGAAATCACCGTGTCGTCGTTTGCTTGGCGAATCTTTTGCACGACAACCCAGACTGTTCTCTGCAGAAGCATGGTGTCACGTCTTGTCGAATCATCGTGCAAGGGACTACCACAAATGCATTTGTGATGAAAGGAAAGGGCATACAATGTCTCAGAAAACCGTAACTCAACTGCACAACCGCTCCACTACTGTAACAAGACCTCGATCGGCGGAGGCGGGACTTCAACTCTATCAGATGCCTGCAACCTGCTCGGCATTGCATGCATCTGGAATCTCACGAAGACAGACACAACACACACACACACACACACACACACAAACATACACATGCGACTATGAGGCTCCACATAGTTCCAGACTTTAAGACGGGGACTCGTCTGTCAGGACTACGTCAGCACGAAAGCACAACCCCCCACAAGGCATTACCTAGGACCTGCCTAATCATCTGGATCGTGGACCCCTCGAGTCTGGAAAGCATCTGTATGGCCAGGTACCTCGTTGGCAATAGAGGGCAATTGACGACCTGTTCAGCTTCCACAGGAACACCCCCATGGTGTAGGAGTCTGGCAAGTTTGCATTCAGGGTGCAGCATAGGCATAGTCTTGCAGGGACAACATCGGAAGCCTGTTCAACAAACTGAAAAATCCTGATGCCGCTATGTTTACACCGAGGGAGAGAACGACAGCAGCTGGAAATTGAGCTCCAAGACTACAAAGCTGGAAAGTAGCTTATGATGAGACCCCATCGAGAACTTGCCAGACGTCGATGTCCGCGGGCTCAGCTGTTGGGCACCCAAAGGTCCCGACGATCGGCACACATGATGGGCACGAGAGCAGGGTCAACCAAAGCCCACTTCATGTGTCGCTACCAGTAACATGCTTCTGCACCTCCTTCATCCCGAATCCAAATGCCAGCAGGCTAGAAGTTCTTCCGGCAACAGTGCTATCAGCTCAAAGACCTAATAATCGCGGGGCACCTCGACTCGGATACTAGTAGTAGCAGTAGAAGGAGCGGCAGTAGCAGCAGGAATTGCAGGAGTGGCAGGAGTGGCAGGAGTAGCAGGAGTAGTAGTAGTAGTAGTAGTAGTAGTAGTAGTAGTAGTAGTAGTAGTAGTAGTAGTAGTAGCAGGAGTAGTAGTAGTAGTAGTAGTAGTAGTAGTAGTAGTAGTAGTAGTAGTAGTAGTAGTAGTAGTATAGCAGTCGTAGTCGCAGTGGTAGTGATAGTGGTAGTGGTGGTGGTCTACCACTAGAAGTGGTAGTGGAACTGGTAGTTGGAGCGGTAGTGGCCGTGGCAGTGGCACTGGCAGCGGCAGTGGCAAGTGGCAAGTGGCAAATGGCAGTGGCAGGGGTGTAGTGGTAGTGGCAGCGGCAGTAGTAACGGTAGCGGTAGAGGTAGTGGTAGTGGTAGTGGTCTGGTCGTGCTGGTGCTAGTGCTAGTGCCAGTGCCAGTGCCAGTGACAGTGGTAGTGGTAGTGCTAGTGCTATTGCTCGTGGTCGTGGTCGTGGTGGTGGTGGTGGTGGTCGTGGTCGTGGTCGTGGTCGTGGTCGTGGTAGTGGTAGTGGTAGTGGTAGTGGTAGTGGTAGTGGGAGTAGTCGTCGCCGTAGCAGTAGCAGTAGCAGTTGCAGTAGCCATAGCAGTGTAGTAGCAGTCGTCGTCGTGGTGGTGGTGGCAGTAGTAAGGATAATACTAAATCATGGCAATGGACGCAGTAGCAATGGCAGCAGCAGCTGCCGCTACTGCTGCTGTTGTTGAACACACCTGTACGTAGATACATCGGACACGACCGAAGTCCTGCTCCCACGCGTGCCCCTGCCGTGCAGCTCCCCAAGGGCCGACTTCGGCCGTGGGAGAGGCGCCGTGGAAAAGCCTTGGCCACGTCGGAGCCTGAGAAGACTGCGGACTTCATGCTCGATCAGTTCTTGTTTCGGGTCTTCTGCTTGACTTGGTCGTAGCGATTCACGGGTACCGGCGGGAATGCGATTCAAGAATTGAGCCTCTTGCTGGAAGTTGGTTATATCATTGCGGGTGCTGCGCCCTGTATTGTCCTCGCTGGGAACAGGCCTTTGACAAGAAGCTGCTTTCGTGTTGAGCGATCTGGAACTGCGCTGTTGATCTGATGCCAAGCGTGCGCATTCTTGGCAATAGCCAGTAGCACAGTCATTTTTGACAAACATGGAGACAGATGTAGTGCATTATAGGTATCAGGATCGCGAACACAAAGACCTCATCACCAGTCACAACTACCTTGCCCCCGATGCTGATCCCCCCCTGCGACAGACTCCTTGAAAAATTCCAAGGCCTGCAAAGAGTGTGCGGATACTGTGCATCTGCCCCGGCTACTGCCTCGACTTACCACTCCTACTCCTACTCCTGGACTCCTACGACGAGGACAACGACTAGTACGACGACGACTACAGGCCACTACTACTATGCTGCTTGCTGTCGCTGCAGCTGCTACTTGTACTGCTACCGCCACCACCGCCACCACTGCCACTACTGCCACTACTGCTGCTGCAGCTGCTACTTCTGCAATGTTACAACGACGACGACTCGGACCTAGGGGCTTGACTAGTTTGAGAAGTCTGCGGACTCAGTCCCCGGCTCGATTTGCACTTCATGCATCGCGCTGTACGAAATTAAACCCACCCTAGACCTAAACCCTGCTAAACCCTACCGCCGGGCTAGGGAGGGAAACTGCTCTTCCCCCCAAATCGTAGCCCCAAGTTCTTGGCACCCAGAAAAGTGCAGTTCCCTCCCTTGCGGCGGCAATCTCGCTGTATCTCATGCGGCCGAATTTCCCTGGATCTAAGTTTTTGTGCAAGGCAAGACTGGTCACGATACACGGTGCTTGCGCAGCCTGCTCGTCCATTATCGCTACGACGGTGTGCATGCTCTACTCTTGCACATCAACGAATCGGCTGACACTAGGAACGTGTGAGATTGTATTTTGCATTGGAGACACGATGGCAACATGACTTCAATCTGACGAGTACTGAGTACTGCGCCAGGCCTCACGAACGTTTCATCCGCTGGTGACAGAACAAAGATCTGTGGAAATCGGGGCCTTTCGGCCGCATGATGTTGCAGCAGATGCTTCTCCCACCGGACGCCACCCTTCCTCCCCTCAGTCGCCAGAGCTCCGGGAAAAAGAGAAGAGGTGGGGCTTACAATTGATTGAGAGTCCCAGTAGGAGAAGTCTAAACCCAAGTAGCTCCAAATGGAAGACAGGCGAGGATGCACATCCCGTCCGAACAGGTGCTGAGAATGCTACAAGGTCGAATGGACAGCACGGGATGTTCCTGCGCCGACAAGCTCTACAGAGGAGCGGCCTCGGATCCCTTGCAGGGAGTTCCAACCAGCTTTGGCCGGATTCCAACGTGGCGATTGAATACGTGTGTATACGTGTGGCCACGTGCATGTCACAGCTGGTCTGCCTCATAGCATGCCCACCCTTGACCCTAAGCGACAGCTGACTGCACAACATCATGCCAAGCTCCCATTTTGGCTCCCCATCTCCCGCTTTGCTTAGGATTTATACGTAAAAAAAATCATGGTTCTGGGTTTTGATCTAGGCTGCAGGTTGTGATCTTCAGTTAGTCCCTGAGCTGAAGAAGGTACAACAAATCTTCGTGTGTTGAACTTCAAGACAGCTACCTCGGCTCACATTGAACTCTGAACTGGTGGTGGCCGGCAGAGTGGGGAGGTATAGTATCTCAAAGGTAGGCGCACAGTGGCAGGGTTCATAAGGCCTACGTCACCTCGGGGCACATGGCTCTACGAACAAGGCGGAAGTTTCAAGGAGGCGGCAGGGCTGGAACCCCCGGAAAGGCATTAACCTCGATCTCACACTCCAGGACAGCAACCTTGCTAGGAGGTCAGGGCCTGACCCAGTGCAGGGGCGACCATGCATGGGATTTGGACGAAACTCCTCGGCTACAGACTGGCAAAATGGCTTGCTGTCAAGACCAGATTCGACAAAGGCTCCCAGTATTTTCAGTGCTTACACACCTGGCAGCCTGCCCATTACCTCCGGTGATGTCTAGTGCTGAGAGCCAGTGATCTGTCCGCCGTTTCGTAGACACGACACTCAGGAGGCCCTGCCCTCGCTCGAATTCTGACAGCGCGCCCGCGTCGACTCCGAAACTGTCGGACCTTACCTGCACTGAACCTGGCAACATACGGTGGCCAGTGTAGAATCATGTCTGTTCCTTCTGCCTCATGTAATCGATTTAATGGAGTCTTGGCGAAGGGTTCAAAGACGAACGCCCCTAGCATGCTTCTCACTCACGGCCGCAACCCTCGACTGGAAAAATATGCCACTGCAAGCTGAAGTGTT